ACACACAGCACACACACAGCACAAACACACACACAGCACACACACACAGCACACACACACACACAGACACACACACAGACACAGACACACACACACAGACACACATACACAGACACACACACAGACACACACACACAGACACACACACACAGACACACACACACAGAGACACATACACAGACACACACACACAGACACACATACACAGACACGCACACACAGACACACAGCACACACACACAGCACACACACACCACACACACAGCGCACACACAGCACACACACAGCACACACACAGACACACAGCACACATACACACACACAGCACACACACAGACACACAGCACACACAGCACACACAGCACACACACACGCAGCACACACACACAGACAGCACACACAGACACACACACAACAACAACCGCCATTCGCCACTAAGTGGCGGTGACGTCACCATGACGCTTGTGCCAGGCTATGTGCACCCTGAGGCCACGTGAAGTGTCGAACGCCCGCTGGCAGGAGGTCACGGGGCAGACCCAGGTGCCCTCCGTTGTTGTTGGAGGGCGACTACCTCCAACTGCCCAGTAGCATCCTTCACGAGCCTCCTCCAAAGAGGCCGATCTTGACACCGCTGGTACCAGTCATCGGCAAGTCCACTCAGCTCCACGTCCTCCTGTACCACATCACTCCATCTCTTCTCTAGCCCGTGCCGCGCCCGCTTAGCCCCCTCAATCCGGCCGAACAAAAGCTGTTTCGGCATGCGGTGGCTGGGCATGCGGGCTACATGACCCAGCCATCGCAGCCTTGCCCGCCGGAGGAGCTCACCGATGGGACCTTGCCCAGATCTTTCAAGGATTTGGGAGCTCCTCACACAATCCAGTCTGGTTAAACCCAGGATGGATCGTAGGCAGGCCAGCCTAAATGTTTCTAACCAGCGAAGATGTTCCATTAGGGGGGTCCACGTTTCGCAAGCGTAGAGAAGGGAGGGAATGACCGTGGCCGAGAAGACCTGTAGCTTAGTGCGGAGCGACAGACCAGGTAGCTTCCACACAGCGTTACGCAACCGATGAAAAGATATTGCCGCTCGACTGATTCGGAGTGAGTCCTCTGCTGTTAAACTGGAGCCAGTCATAAGCACACTGCCCAGGTATGGGAAACTCTCCACTCTCTCCACAACTGCCCCATCACCGATTGGGAGTTGTGGGGGTGGAGTGTCGGGCAAAACAACCCCCTACCTCCTCGAGGTGCCGGATGGGCAACTCTGTCGTGGACAGTGCTGTGGGGGGAGATCCAATTTTGATTGGCTCCTCCCCTCATGGCATATGTGTCCACCACAGGGGCTAAACGGGGGCTCTGGACGGGTGCGAGGGGCTGGTAACCCCTCCACCTTCAATTTATTACCACGAAACCACGAGTTAAACACACACACAGACACACACACACACACGCAGCACACACACACAGACACACAGACACACATACAGCACAAACACACAGACACACACACAGCACACACACACACGCAGCAGACACACACACACAGCACACACACACAGCACACACACACACATACACACACAGACACAGACACACACACACACAGACACACACACGCAGCACACACAGCACACACACACACAGCACACACACACACGCAGCACACACACACACGCAGCAAACACACACACGCAGCACACACAGCACACACACACAGCACACACACACACAGCACACAAACACTTAGCACACACACACACACAGCACACACACACACGCGCAGCACACACACACACACACACGTAGTGTCCCGGCAGGGGATTGCCGGGCACAACGGGTTTTCATCCGAAGGGCCCCTAGGTGGGATGTCCCGCGGTTTCCCGGTGCCAGCAGATTACCTGACCCTCCCAGGACAAATCACATGGTAGCGCCCCTAAATTGGGTTAAACTTGAATGGGCATACGAAGGTTTACCCCGGCCAGCCACAATGAATCATGCACGACATCGGGGAGAGGGCTGGGGTGAAATATTAAGCGAGCAGAGCAGACAATTAGGGAGGGGGACCGGCTAGTGTGTATTTGACAGCCGGACGCCCTCCCAGGTTATACCGGCTGAGTCAGGGATGAAGAGTACAGTGAGGGAAAAAAGTATTTGATCCCCTGCTGATTTTGTACGTTTGCCTACTGACAAAGAAATGATCAGTCTATAATTTTAATGGTAGGCTTATTTGAACAGGGAGAGACAGAATAACAACAATATCCAGCAAAACGCACGTCAAAAATGTTATAAATTGATTTGCATTTTAATGAGGGAAATAAGTATTTGACCCCTCTGCAAAACATGACTTAGCACTTGGTGGCAAAACCCTTGTTGGCAATCACAGAGGTCAGACGCTTCTTGTAGTTGGCCACCAGGTTTGCACGCATCTCAGGAGGGATTTTGTCCCACTCCTCTTTCGCAGATCTTCTCCCAAGTCGAAGTACCGGGACGCTGCACGGGCATCCCCTCGCAGTCCTCCTGCTGCATCATTCGCAGCTAAAGCGGTGACGGCGGCCAGGAGGTCTCCCATAATAATGCCTTTGGTGAGGTTTTCGGTCGTCTCCTTGCATCGCTGGCATAACAGCGTCCCGCTCCATCTCCGGCTCCTGAGCGCCCAGGGTCGATTGTGGGAGAGCCCCGTCGTCGTGGTCGTCCTCGTCCGAAGACTGAACGTGAACTCCACGCCAGGCAGAGTCACGGTACGTGGAAGCAGGAAAGCGGACGCGGCTCGCCTCCGGGGCGAGCCGCGTCTGTCGCTCGGGCGGCACCGAACTGAGCAGGACACCGGGGGGGGGGGGGGGGGGTGGCGCGTGCTGAAGCCGAGCGTCGCCGTCACAGGGCGAGAGGCCACGTCTGTCACCCGCGCACGCGACTGAGAACAACCGGGAGCACGGAGTGGCTCAAGAGCGCCTGACGAAAACCCAGGTTCATCCAGTCTGGCGGAGGAACTCGATTTTTTTTTTCCTGTGGAGGGGGTGGGGATGCTGCTGGCAAGACCCCTTGTCGCCCGCCAGGCTAGCAGGAAAGAAGCGGAACGGGGGGAGGGGCCCGAATGTCCGCTCGTGGCGGCCATCGCAGTTATCATGGCAAATGCCTGGTCAACAAACAAACACAAATTCAAGAGGGGTAATAAAAACCTTAGTAGCACCTTACCAACCCTTTACAAAACTATCCATAGCTACCAAATCGAATAGCCGTGTGGTACCCATTCATACTGCCGATGTCCTAAAGCGTTACTTAAATTGCAGCGCTGGGACATTGAATCAAAACCGGTGACCTCGAGATAGCAAGTCCAGTGTTCAAATTGACACCACAGCAGCATTCTGGAAGATGCTTAATTTCCCCAGTGTTGTCTCCCATGATAAATGAACAGCACACACGGTGGTTGAACCTTCATTCTTAAAGGTGCTATATGAATGCAACGTTGTTGAATGTTATTGCGGGAAAGTTGGATGTCCTTAAATATGCTTAATAATCATAATGTACAGCCCTTGGTCAAACCACTACTTAGTGCAAGGTCCCTCTATCTGTCTCAGTCGCGGGGGTAGTTTGACCACAGTTCACTTTGGAAGTGGAGCTTCTTGGTCAGGGAGGATGGGGACACAGGACCCGTTCAGATGTCCCTCACTGGCGATGTGGCCCGTGGCTGGGATGAAAAATCTCGCTTGGAAAAGATAAAACATCGGCATCAGGGGTTGCCGAGCACAGGCTCAATATATATTAAAAAAAAGTAATGTTTGTGTCACAGACAATAATCAGAATCAGAATCAGAAAGGGTTTTATTCGCCATGTAAGTTCACACCGACACGGAATTTACTTTGGCAGGATGGTGCATACATTCAACATATAGGAATCTAAAATCTTAAAATAAGTTTTAAACAAGTCTTACTATAATAAGGGTCAAAAGTCTAACACCAAGGGGCTGAAGTATGTAAAATTAAATAAATATCGAATATAAAATCCGGCAAGGCTATACGAACTTGGGGAAAGCAGCTGATGGGACGGGAATGACAAAGTCAGGCACTGTGCTCGTGCAAACGCCTGTAATCGGGCACTGTAAAGGCAAGGGTTGGTGGATCAGACGAATGCTGAGACCTCCTTCCTGTGGACACCTGCCAACAGAATGCAGTCGAGCAGAGTGTGGACTGATATCTGTCCCTCATCTGTCAGAATTAAAATCTAACTTCATACTGGAGGAATTCAATGAGGTATATGCAATATTCACAGATGCCCGGTAGAGGCAGGTGAGAACGTAAAAACGACAAGCAAACCAAAAACAAATGATAGCAGTACAAAGTATAGGAAAGGGAAACAAATAACTTAAAGAATATACACAAATAAAACTATTTTTTGTGTATATATGTATCTTACGAAGGCTCACTGAGCTATGCAGCTCTTTTTCAGAAGCCACCTGGCCACAAATGATGACTCGACAAAGCGTCTTATATCACGTGGAAATGTGTATAGCAAGCCAAATAATCTAAATGCGAGGACCGATGGTCCGACTTACGATATTTCGATCTTACGGTGGCGATAGAAGATGCGACAAAATTGCCATCAGCAACCTAAACATCGTTCAGGTATGCAGACGACGGACAGAATCTTGGCGAGTACAGTTACAATACGTTACGATACGTTCAATGCGTCTATGATACGTAGCTTTAGCGATTTCATTTTAGGGTTACCGCGATACGTTACGTTCAATGCGTGTTAAAAGTTTTTTTTTATAGCGGATAAGGATTGCTTCCTGAAAAAAACTTTCGATTAAATTGCAGTTCACATCGGTAGGCTAAGAATTTACCTTGTTTTTTTACTTTACATTTTGCTGTGCAATGCAGTATTGTATTTAATAAATACATACAGTATATATTGTATATAGTACGGTACTTTAAATTGCTCTGTTTTGCTAAATTATCACCATTCTTTAAGACTCCATGGTAGGCTAGGCCAGGCCATCTTCGACTTACGATATTTTTGACTTACGATGGGGTCGTCCTTACACATCTCCATCGTAAGTAGAGGACTACCTGTACACAGCAGCCGTCAGTCAGGATCGAACCCAAGACCTCCTGCATATCAGCCGAGCGAATTAATTTCTTGCCTCAGCAATTGTGAGATGCAATTGTCGTGAACGCTCGTTAAAATGTGTCGATATAATTTGGGTGTCTCAATGCAGCGGTTATTACACGGTGCTAACCACTCCGCCACCTCTCTCCCAAACGAGATTAGAACTTCTCAAAGACGTACTCCAGGTCTGGGTAACTTTCCCTGAGGTCCCACAGCGCCTCCCAGAACTGCTTGACCCTGGGTCGCCCCCTCGCCATCACCAGCTCCACCATGTGCTGTGTCGCCTTCTCGCTGCCCTGCCGAGCTTGCATCTCCTTCACGGCCTGCGGGTGGACACACGAACGCAAAGACGTCAAGTTCAGAGCGGAACGACGTTTCTGTAGCGATGGCGGTTCTTCAGAGCCGCTTGCCTGCAACACTCCAGAAGCACTCTGTGTTTGCGTTGTAAAGCAGCAGCGTTTATGACAAAGTGTGACTTGGTGTGTGCCTGTGCACTACAATCGAGAACACATTAAAAAAAAATAGTAAGGATATCATTAGACCTCCTTTGCCTGTACCAGAATATAATAATAGGGGTTTTCCCCTTTTTTCTGGCAACAAAACTGAAACCTTTTTTTTTTACGAGGAATCACGTGGTGCATTAACCACAATACTTGTGGTCAAAATGCAAACAAACAACACTCTGATGATATATGTATTGTCCTTGAAACTGATTGGTCCACACCAGGGACGACTTTCTTTTGAGCCTCGACGCCTTTTGGCGTCCTCTGGTCGAGCACCAATTGGGTCGAGGCTCAAAAGAAAGCCGTCCCTTGGTGTGGACCAATCAGTTTCAAGGACAATGCATATATTATAATAGTGTGTGTTTTGTTTGCATTTTGACCACAAGTATTGTGGTTAATGCACCACGTGATTCCTTGTAAAAAGTTTTGTTGCAAGAAAAAAGGGGAAAGCCCTATTATTACTAAGGATATGTTAAAAATACAATTATGTAACTATACAGTCCGATCTTAGAAACGTTCTAATTATAAGATCACGTGTGCCACTACCTATGTGTGCTATGACCTATGTTTAATGCTCTGTTCAATTGTGCTTCTTACATCTGTCTGTGCTCTCGGAACTTATTTCAGCTTGTCCAACCCTAACGTCGGCATGGACCTCATTGTGATTGCTCACTGTCAACCAATCCCGCGGCAGACTCAACATGCAAATGTTCTGTGCAGCCTAGAAAGTAGGTCCGTCGTGATAGCCTTTGTGCCAAAAGGACTGGCCAAACACCAAACGTCCTTATTCATGAGGCTACGCGTGATTGTGATGACGATGATCTTAGTTGGACATTACCCGCACGCTGTTGTCGGTGAGGATGTTCCTGATCTGCAGTTGGGAGAGCAGAGGCGTCAGGTCGTCGTGCAGTGCCCTGAGCAGCACCCTCGTCTTGAAGCGGATTTTGTCTCGGAGGACAAAGTCGCTGTACTTGTTCAGAACCAGGGGGGACTTGTTGGAGAGTCTCCGGAGGAAGTCTGCGGCACCACAAAAGGGGGTGAAACGCAGCGGCAATTGGCGCCGTTTCAGCCTTCAAAGGTGGATGAGAGCAGGTTGGAGTGCTTTTGGAAAATTGAACAAAATAATGAAATGTAACGTAACCAATGTGCCTGAAGAATAAAGTTTTAATCGGCCCGCATTACCTGCTATGACGTACGGATCAGACACGTGGACACTGACAATTAAAAGGAACAGCACTGCAAGAGCATGAAATAGTACACGGTTTCAAGTTACGTAGAAAAACAGAACGACAGTGCATGGGTTATAGGACATTGCTTTGTTAATTAATTGCACCTGGGCAGGACATGTCACCAGAAGGAATGATGGCCAGTTAATACGACAAATGTGTAAATTTCGATTTGAAGCTTTCGTGACTGCAAGGATTCATTTCTGTGACCAGTCACAAGCTAATCACTCAGTTATTTCAATGCTAAATTCTCCTAGTTATTTCAATGCTAAATTATCCTGTTTGATTTGAACCAGGTGCCTCTGTGAATGTGTATGCTTTGACTTTAACATAGCTATTTCTGTGACCAGTCACAAGCTAATCACTCAGCTATTTCAATGCTAAATTCTATGCCAATTCCTTTGTCAAGGGGTGCCTCTGTGGATGTGTAGGCTTTGACTTTAACACAGCTATTTCTGTGACCAGTCACAAGCTAATCACTCAGCTATTTCAATGCTAAATTCTCCTGTTTGATTTGTACTAGGTGCCTCTGTAGATGTTGTAGGCTTTGACTTTAACATAGCCATTTCTGTGACCAGTCACAAGCTAATCACTCAGCTATTTCAATGCTAAATTCAACTGTTTGATTTGTACTAGGTGCCTCTGTGGATGTGTAGGCTTTGACTTTAACACAGCTATTTCTGTGACCAGTCACAAGCTAATCACTCAGCTATTTCAACGCTAAATTCTCCTGTTTGATTTGTACTAGGTGCCTCTGTGGATGTGTAGGCTTTGACTTTAACATAGCCATTTCTGTGACCAGTCACAAGCTAATCACTCAGCTATTTCAATGCTAAATTCTCCTGTTTGATTTGTACTAGGTGCCTCTGTGGATGTGTATGCTTTAACTTTAACATAGCCATTTCCGTGACCAGTCACAAGCTAATCACTCAGCTATTTCAATGCTAAATTCTCTTGTTTGATTTGTACTAGGTGCCTCTGTGGATGTGTAGGCTTTGACTTTAACATAGCCATTTCTGTGACAAGTCACAAGCTAATCACTCAGCTATTTCAATGCTAAATTCTCCTGTTTGATTTGTACTAGGTGCCTCTGTGGATGTTGTAGGCTTTGACTTTAACATAGCCATTTCTGTGACCAGTCACAAGCTAATCCCTCAGTTATTTCAATGCTAAATTCTATGCTAATTCCTTTGTCAAGGGGTGCCTCTGTGAATGTGTATGCTTTAACTTTAACATAGCCATTTCTGTGACCAGTCACAAGCTAATCACTCAGCTATTTCAATGCTAAATTCTCCTGTTTGATTTGTACTAGGTACCTCTGTGGATGTGTATGCTTTAACTTTAACATAGCTATTTCTGTGACCAGTCACAAGCTAATCACTCAGCTATTTCAATGCTAAATTCTCCTGTTTGATTTGTACTAGGTGCCTCTGTGGATGTGTATGCTTTAACTTTAACATAGCCATTTCCGTGACCAGTCACAAGCTAATCACTCCGCTATTTCAATGCTAAATTCTCCTGTTTGATTTGTACTAGGTGCCTCTGTGGATGTGTAGGCTTTGACTTTAACATAGCCATTTCTGTGACCAGTCACAAGCTAATCACTCAGTTATATCAATGTTAAATTCTCCTGTTTGATTTGTACTAGGTGCCTCTGTGGATGTGTAGGCTTTGACTTTTACATAGCTATTTCTGTGACCAGTCACAAGCTAATCCCTCAGCGATTTCAATGCTAAATTATATGCTAATTCCTTTGTCAAGGGGTGCCTCTGCGGATGTGTAGGCTTTGACTTTAACATAGCTATTTCTGTGACCAGTCACAAGCTAATCCCTCAGTTATTTCAATGCTAAATTCTATGCTAATTCCTTTATCAAGGGGTGCCTCTGCGGATGTGTATGCTTTAACTTTTAACATAGCTATTTCTGTGACCAGTCACAAGCTAATCATTCAGCCATTTCAATGCTAAATTCTATGCTAATTCCTTTGTAAAGGCGCTTTGTTTCCTCTCACACAGCTTAAAGGCCGTGATCTGAACGTGGCTCTTTCACTCCAGCGGTGTCCTACCAGACAGTCTCGTCCCTTCACCTGATGAAGGCCGCTTGTGTTGTGGCCGAAACGTCGTGAGAATTTTATTGTGTTATTTTATTTTATCAATTTATTATGTTTTTCTCATTCTACGTGGTGACTTTACCGAAAGAACCAAAGAATATAAATTTATTGTTTTGTTACCAAGGCCTCCCAGCCACTCCTTGAGTCCAGGATAATCGTTCTGCACGGCCTGCAGGGCAAAGAGCAGCTTGAGGCAGTCGTCATTCCCTCTCTCTATGAAGAAGTTGAGCAGCAGCTCCGTGCACTCCGCGCCATCCCGGATGCCCTTGGCCTCGGTGAAGAGCTCGTTCGGGATTTGTCCCCGACTCATGAGCTGCAGCAGAAGATGCTTGGGGTCTCTGGCGATCCAGAGCTTCAGATCCGACTCCTTATCTCGAATGGCCCTCAATGCCTCACCTGCGATCGACAGAGGTTCATATGAATTCCACAAGTATCGTTCTACACAGACTTATTTGATTTTTTATTAAAATTAGGCCACGATTGTGAACCAAGGCACAACGTATAACATATTTAGGTTCATATTGGTACTTAAACAGTCAAGTGTGACGTGAAGTCGTTCAGTCACGCACAGCATGACATCATTCCTGTGCGGCTTTAAACGTAGCGACGTAGTCTCCGATCACTTCCCCGACGACGAACTCGTGTTGGAAAGCAATTACGAAAGCCACGCATATGCATGGTTTTTCTTCCTCGACTCTCACAAAATGGCATTCGATATCAATACACCGGTGCGTTCACGTGGGTCGTACCGTGTGTCTGAATCCACTTCCACAGCTGCACGTATTGCTTCCTCACAGAGTAGAGGGAGTCCCACAGCGTCTCACAGCGTGCCTCTCCCTGGCTGATGAAGTGGTCCAGAACGAGCTCCACACTCTCCTCTCCGCCCTTGTCGACGGCCGCTTGGTGCACGTGTCGTGGAATCAATTTGAAGCCGTTGAGATGCTCCAGGAAGGCCGATGGATCCGCTCCGATCCAGGCCTTGAGTTTCTCTTTGTTCTCTCGGATCTGTTGCATTGTCTCGCTGCTCTCATTGCTCCTCTGTAGCGTGTGGAGAAGACACGGTCACGATTATTTCTGTCTATCTGGGATGGAGTTTTCAGTGTACTGGTGCATGCCTACACACGGAAACAATGTAGAGTAGGGTCATCATGCCACCATGTTGCGTTGAGTTTACCTGAACTCCATATGGCACCTTGTGTTCATTTTGCACGATAACAAGCGGTAGATTTTCATCATGCTCGTTATTTGTATGAGTGTCTGAAAAAAATCCAATGAAATTAGTTCATGACCGATTCATAGCAAAGTTTATGCGGTTGAATAATATTTGTATAGGTCCAAAACGAAAAACGGTTCTATTATTCGACACAGAATACTAAACATGGCGATATTGGAGTCAAGGAGAACATTTCTACTACGTATATTTTTTAAGATTGGACAGATATAAACTGGAATGTAAAGTTGCATAATTGCATAGCCAAGATGAAAATGTCATCACCTGCGGCTAAAGACCATGAACAGAGAGTTTTGCGGTCGTTTTTGAATCAGTCCAAATCCTACCTCGATGCCCCTCGGGACCTCGACAATTGTCAACTTCCTCCCTTTGTCACAAGAGCGGTAAGCACAGAACGAAGTAACGACGACGCTTCAATTGAGCGTCCTGTCCAACACGACTTTACTCGGGTGTGAAATATTGTCGGATGAATTGAGGCATGAAAGGGGTCACCGTCACCAGTAGCAACACTCTCCAAGGGACTATTTCCAAGTTCTAAAAAGGAATGCGACTCATTGTTTTCATTCTGTGCAGTGGCGTCTGCAGAGAGCATTCAGAGGCGGCTCGTGCCGAGACGTGATTTCTCTGCACATATTGAATTCCCGTATGAGTAAAAATACATTTTGGTAGATGTGTAGCGTACTAATTCACAGACACTATTAGGAGGTGCTGTCTCTCTTTCATTCCGGCCTTCACGGCCTTAGGGGATAATCACACACCGGGTCGGGACAGCCAACATGCTGCCAGACCCACAGCTTGAAGAGGGCGAAGATCACAACGACGATGGCATTACGAGGGGTTCCACTCCAGATCGCAGCAGTCCCGATTGTTAGTCGGAGCTCGTCCTTTTATCCTGCACCAGCGTGGCCAGGCCCCGCCCTCAGCCCTGCCCCCGCTCCGGTTCCTCCAGAGGGCTCCGTGCCTTGACCACAGGTCCAACTGGTAGAACTGCTAATTCGATTGTCTACCAAGCGCTACGGTGACTCATTCAATGTCACTTCAGGTGTATAATTTCAGCCCCAATAGCAGGATGTGATCTTTGGATTAAGCACAGAACGTTGCCACTTACCTGATCGCTTCACCATCGTTTTAAAAGTCAACCCCATCTGCTTCATGTTGAAGTAAACTATGAACAACACGAGTGTAGTCAGGACGACGATGAGGACTGCCGCCAACACGACTGACGTGGAGTCTGAAAATTTTATGAAGGAGAAAAAAACAACAAGCTGTCAACAGCAGCTCCCTCTCCGCCTACTTGTCAGGTCTATGTGATACATTGCAATGAATACGAATGCAGTACGTTGCATTAACACAACCTCTATCAAAATCAAACCATCAAATCACTGCTCTTTGCATAATTTCTATAGTTTTTTTAAGCGCAAAAATATCGCGAAGGCGTTTTTTCACAGATTATCATCTGCAGCAGTTTCACCGTTGGTGGGTGACGTTATTTTTGTTACAATTTGCCTTCCCCTAGAACGAACTTTTGAGGTGATTTTCACATTTGAACCGCGATTTTCAAATATGGTTACCAGACCTCTATCATTCACAGTGAAGCAGATGGCGCATTTGATTTTGTTGAATGCACCAGTAACATTAACCAGGGTAGCCGATGGGCTTGAACCACAAAACCTCTGAAATGAGGAGTAAATACGCTGCTAGCTAGTGTGCAGATTTGGATGCAAGGGGACTCCAGCCTAAAACTTCTGTGTAGGGACAATACAGATTTGGTGTTCAGTATTGCACAGGGTAGTGAATTGATAACATCACACGTGGCTGTGCTTGACCATGCATGCAGTCCCTGAAGCCTGCAATAGACATGAGGTTGAGTTTCAATTCGGGCTTCTTCTGCGGACAGCTTCTGCCGTTTCAGTTGCCAGGCTGTCCCTTTGCCCCCACTGTCAGCTGAGAAACAAAACAGCTTATTGTGGTTGACTTGAGCGGCTTTATAATCCTATTACTACCTGGGTGCCGCTCCTCAAGCAGACACATTCCCGAGTCGCCATCTCTCTGGAGCCCCTCCGTGCACCGACACACCGTGTCCTGGGCCATGGAGCAGTTCACAGCCACCTCCTCGCCTGCAATGAGAACGTTGATCAGTCTCAACGCAAATGGTTGGCTACGTACGGTGCGAAAAAAAGTTCAACATACATTGCTCAATTTGGGAGACGGCATTAACTATTGTCCATGGTGGGGGGAAACAATCCTTAAAATGTGTAGTGACTGAATCGGAGACACTAAGAGGAGGCACTCTGTTAATTATCAATTAATCCGTCTAAAAAAAATGATTTAAAGCTTCCGTGACTGCAGTGATTGATATTCTTGGTTCTTTTGGTAAAGTCACGTTGAAGGGAAACAATAAAATAATAAAAATATAAAACAATAAAATTCTCACGCTTACGGTGGCTTTCAGACAGCATACATTAATTTTTCGTCTCCCCCCTCCTCTTTTCCGAACATAGATGGACTCGTCCATCTAAACAAAATGTCAAATCGCTCTCCGTGGCGCTAACGTTTAAAAATAAATGAATAAAAACAAACCGCCACTTCTTTCAAATGTTCTTGCCGTTGGTTTTCACACCTGATGGTGACTGCTTGTGTTGCAGTCGAAAACGTCGTGAGAATGTTATTGTTTTATATTTTTTGTATTATTTTATTGCTTCCCTTCTTCTACGTGGTGACTTTACCGAAAGAACCAAGAATATGAATCCGTCTAGAGTCGACTACGGTTCCCAGTCAGGACAGTTGGTAGACTGCCTGAGTGGCTACGCCGAGATGGTGAAGACGCAGATGACGAGAAGAACGGTGAAGACTCCGGCAGCAGCTAGCCAGGGATCCCCCTCTAAACGACAGCCCTGACGTCCCCTCTCGGGGCCCCCCTTATACCGTCAGCGTGGCCTGGCTCTGCCCCCGGCCACGCCCCCTTTCTAGAACCTACCAGCGGGTTCCTGGTGCGCCCCTTCCGTGACACTTACCCCTAGAACCACCTCTGGTGTGTCACGTGGCCTGCTGCCATCAGAGCTGCAGATCCACCTTCCCCACCAGCAGACAGCGCTATGCTCTGCTATGTGACCAATTCTATATTGATGCAATGACCGAAATTAGTAAGCACTCGCCCCAAGCAAATGTGCGGCCCAGCAGACTCCCAGGAAGTAGGCAGAGGCCTCCTATTGGCGTAGAGAGGCCTCCATGATGATTGGTCGGGGGAGGCGAGGAGGTCTCAAGGGATTGGAGGAGAGGTTCAAATGGGGGAAAAAAAGAGGGAAGCAGAAGTTTGGAGCCTAGAGACGACGGTTGAGAACCGTTGAGGAGGAGGGGAATTGACCGGAGGAAAGGCGGTGACAGAAGGTTGGAGGGAAAGGGCTCGAGAGGGATACAATGAGGGAGCACAAGGGGGGGGGTGGGTGGGTAAGCGAGATAGAAGCCGGGCCTAGAGTTTTGTCGGTGTCGTTTCACGAGTTGCACAGCCATTTCGTCCCTTTTCGGGGTTATTTGGCTCCACACGTCTCCACACTGGTCGAAGCGTCTTGATGCAGGAAAGGCCCATAGACGTGGCTGCATAGTACACTACAACAATGGTTGTCGCCGCAGTGCCTGTAATGTGGTGCCGCACCAGGCTAGAGAATCTGTTTCGTTTTCATTACGTAGGCTTTCATGAAGAAGATTTTGGGGTAGATTTTGTACGTAGATTTTAGACAACTATAACCCTCCACCGCCCAAGAAATAAAATAAAATCAAGTTGTAACGTAGGCACATGTGCCGATTGATTTGGGAGGTTTTTTTTTTGCAGAAAATTTGGGGAATGTTGAATAGAAAGCAAGATTTATTTATTTTTTATAAGTCATATGCACGGTGATTACCAATCAGGGCACTGTCCAGGCTCAACCCTGTCTCGCTTCTGAGAACTCAGGAGATTTGGTCCAATTCTGAGTTATTGTCATGGGCAGGACAATATTACTGAACACATAATAATAATATATAGGATGGACAACAACAGGAGCATTAACAGTGTTGTAGTAGTAATAGGTTTTACCCTTTTAACTGGCACAAAAACTGACACCTTTATTCAAGGCATCATGTCTGCAATAACCACAACACAAGCAGTCAAAATGCATGTGTTGTGGCTATTGCAAACATGATGCCTTGAATAAAGGTGTCAGTTTTTGTGCCAGTTAAAAGGGTAAAAACCTATTACTATATCTTGTTACTGGCAAAAGAGGTCTCATAATAAAAAAATAAAAGTGTTGTTGTTGTTGTTGTTTGGAAAAATAGAAGTAACCGGAAAGAGACTAAGAGCTATCAGAGTAAATGGGTTGACGACATTGAAAGAGATTGGTGCCAGGACGATGTGGCCACGAGCAAATTGGTACAAGACAAGGGCAAGTGGAAACCAATGACGAAATGTACGGGTTATCTGCCCATGGATCGTGATGATGATGATGATGCACTCCACTATACACTACACGATTATAAACCACGCTATACACGACACCATATACTTAATTATAAACTCCTATATACTACACTTCAGTACTACAAACTACACTATACACTACACTATACACTACACGATTATAAACCACGCTATACACTACACCATATACTAAATTATACACTCCTATATACAACACTTCAGTACTACAAACTACACTATACACTCCACTATACACTACGCTATACACTACACCATATACTAAATTATACACTCCTATATACTACACTTCAGTACTACAAACGACACTATACACTGCACTATACACTACAATAATATACATTAGGCTATGTGCTACACTACTATCCCTCCTAGCCGAGAGTTTGAGTGTTTTTTGTTTTTGTGTGGAGAAGTATCCCGGTGCCGTGCTTCTGGTACCGAGATGTTGTCCTCCAAAGTCAACCAGTCTGCTCCTCCACGAGTTTGCCGAGCTCATCACCGTGCTGTTTCCAACCTATGACAGGATGCTTATTCTGGACGACTTCAACATTTGTTCTATATTTGAAGCTTTCGTGACTGCAAGGATCCATACTCTCTGGTTCTATTCGCTAAAGTCACGTAGTGGGTAAAAAAATAAAACAACAAAAATCACGACGTTTCGGCCACAACACAAGTAGCCTTAATCAGGTGAAGAGACAGTCTGGTCCCTTCACCTGATGAAGGCCACTTGTGTTGTGGCCGAAACGTAGTGATTTTGGTTGTTTTATTTTTTACCCACGTGATTTCAACATCCGTGTCGATACCAGGAATTGCTCCTTGTCTGCGGGGGGCATCTTGGCTCCGCTTGATTGCTTTGGTCTCACCCACCATGTGAATGTACCCACTCGCAGACATGGTCACACCCTCCACCCTGTAATTCCCTTTGGGATTGGCGTTTTTAGATGTGCAGTCTGTTGGTCCTCGCCTTTCTGACCGTCTGGCTGAGCGATTCACTGCGGGGCATGATCCTCCACTTAATTTCATTAGAAGGAGGCGAATTGTGTTTCGTCCGATCAAGACTATGAGCCCAGCTCTATTTTCAAGATTTCTGATTACAACAATTGGAATAGAATTTGAGGTGGGATTGTCTTGCTTGGAATATTCGTTCAGGTTCCTCGTTAAGTTTTCCCCGTGTTTATTTAATGCTGGTTGAAGTTGGGAGTACGCAGACCAAACCTGCCACGCATTGAAAAAATACAAATGTCAAACACAATTCACATTTACGGCAACAACCCACTTGCTGTGCTGTCATCTACCTGGTCCACAGCTGCTGCATTGCGAGCACACCTCCTCCTGGTTGTCTCTGTCCATGAATCTGCCTCTAGGGCACGGGTCACAAAAGGCGCCCATTCCATCACCGATGCAGTCCGCCACTTTGTGCATCCCTGAAAGGCAAAGAGGTGTGAGCAAGCAACGGAGTTGTTGCAAACACAAACACACGGCCACAAGTTGGTGAGATCGAGCTGCACTGGCAAGTCAACATGTCTCAGGTGTGATCAAGAGCACAATGCCTCGACTGAAAACACGTTTCTTTCGTTCAGTATCCACCATTGACATCCAAATTGTTGCCAGGTCACTGGGGGGAAAAGTTAATTTCATTTAGTTTCCTTTCCACAGGAGCTGAGCCGTGACTTGGTGGTTTAACGGAAGCAACCGGTCACCACAGGGATTGTGGGTCTCCGTGTCTTTGCGTCGCTTTACCTGCACGGCACAGCTCACAGCAGACTCCTTGTGGCGATTTGTAGAATCCATTTCCACACTCTGTGGCGGCTGACAGCTCCTCCAGTGCATAACACACCTGCAGAGAACATCCACGCAGAATGGAGTCACCGCGAGCGACGTCGCGAGACGTCTCCACTCTGCCAGCTGCGACAGTCCCGGTGCTTTCAGGAAGGCTTTGCCGCTGTTGTTTCCGCGATGAGTTTGTGAGTATTGCCACTTTGTGTCCCGAATCCATCCATACCTGGTGTTCACCAACTCGGGTAAAAAAATAAAATAAAAATTGGGCGGAGAATTGTCTTCAGACAAGACACACGCACGCCTTGTATGTCGAATCAATCATCACCCTGCCGGAATGATTTGATGATTAATGGGTAGAAAAAAAACACATTCCAATGGAAAGATCAGTCCTAGTAAACCACGCCTGTCGACTTCAGACATCCGATTGGCACATTTACAGTTCGCGAGTTCAACTTCGCAGTCAGAAGTTGACTTAACCCAGCTATTTGCAAAAGGCCGAGCTTAATCACACAAAACCCCAATGTCGCCTCTACAAAGGCATTGTCATTACCTTAACAGCCTGTAATGAGGAAGTTCAGGAGGCTGAGTTCGCTGTTTCCGTCTTGTGCAATGTTGTATTGTCATCGCAGAAGCAGTCTACCCCTCCCAAATCCCGCACCGCTGCTCCCCAAACCCGTGACAGAGAGGTAATAGGGGTGGTGAGTAAATAGGGGTGGTGAGAGGTAATAGGGGTAATGAGAGGTAATAGGAGTAATGAGAAGTAATAGGGCTAATGAGAAGTAATAGGGCTAATGAGAAGTAATTGGAGTAATGAGAAGTAATAGGGCTAATGAGAAGTAATAGGGCTAATGAGAAGTAATAGGAGTAATGAGAAGTAATAGGAGTAATGAGAAGTAATAGGGGTAATGAGAAGTAATAGGAGTAATAAGAATTAATAAGAGTAATGAGAAGTAATAGGAGTAATGAGAAGTAATAGGGGTAATGAGAAGTAATATATGATAATGAAAAGTAATAGGGCTAATGAGAAGTATAGGAGGAATGAGAAGTAATAGGGGTAATGAGAAGTAATAGGAGTAATTAGAAGTAATAGGAGTAATGAAGTAATAGGGCTAATGAGAAGTAATAGGGGTAATGAGAAGTAATAGGAGTAATGAGAAGTAATAGGAGTAATAACAAGTAATAGGAGTAATAACAAGTAATAGGAGTAATACGAATTAATAGGGCTAATGAGAAGTAATAGGAGTAATGAGAAGTAATAGGGGTAATGAGAAGTAATAGGGCTAATGAAAAGTAATAGGAGTAATAAGAATTAATAGGGGTAATGAGAAGTAATATATGATAATGAGAAGTAATAGGGCTAATGAGAAGTATAGGAGTAATAAGAAGTAATAGGGCTAATGAGAAGTAATAGGGGTAATGAGAAGTAATAGGAGTAATGAGAATTAATAGGAGTAACGAGAAGTAATAGGAGTAATAATAATTAATAGGGCTAATGAGAAGTAATAGGGATAATGAGAAGTAATAGGGCTAACAAGAATTAATAGGAGTAATAAGAATTAATAGGGCTAATGAGAAGTAATATATGATAATGAGAGGTAACTCACCACGAGGATCATTCCACCCAGCACCAGAATGCTCCTCCACTGGTGCATGACGCTGCCCCGTCTCTCCTCACCACCAACTCCCCACGACTCCTACCCAGTCCAGCTCTTGCCCAGTTCACACTTGCAACCCCAAGATAGCCGAAGTCGCGACGTTTCATTCACTCGCCCACCCCCGGTTGTTGTGGCTGTTGTTGTTGTTGTTGACGTTTCTGATCCCGCTGTGTCCTACACAAGAGCCTGTTCAGAAAAAGAACGCCATGCTCCGGCTCGTTCAAGCTTCTTCCTCAATTCAAAGTCACAGTCACGCGCCCACGGTGTGATTTTGTGTTGTTGTTGTTGAGGGTCATTCAGCTTCCTGCTAGGAGGTAGGTGGCAGGGGGGAGGGGTAATAGGTGACCGCACTTTACCCTCCTGGACCACTTTCAGTCACCCGCTAACGCGGGTGAAACACGCCAGGGTGGTGTGTTTTATTTTGTTGTTGTATGTATGTCTGTGTAGTAAGGCGTCTGTCCGTCTTGCTCGTCGTCGGGAATGTCACGTGAACATTCAACCCGATCACAGAAGGTCGCCCCAACTTCTCACTCAACTCGATGCTTAATGACAGCCACGGCCGCCTGCGTCAACACCAACTGACTTCCGTCAATGACATCACAGACATACGACCACCTCAATGTCGTTCTGGATTTGAAGTTTTCGTGACTGCAAGGGTCCATGCTCTTTGTTTTTATTTTTCCGCTAAAGTCACGTGGGTAGAACAATCTAAATAAATTAAAGCACGACGTTTTTCGGGCGCGACACAAGCGCCCCTCTTCAGGTGGGGGACAGCTGAGCGAAAGCACAAACGCTTTAAGTGTGCCTCAGAGATCGCTGTGTTGAGTGATATAGTCGCGGGGGGATGGGGGTAATGGTGATGGTAGTGTTTGAAACTGGGGGTAAGAGGTCACAGTACCCTGGCTCCTCCCCCCCCACTACCCTCTCTGTCCCTGACTCCTCCCCCCCTCCCCTCATTTATGATCACTATGATCACTGTACCGTTGCAATAATGGCTTTATTTTTTGGTGATTTCGAAAACGTTTCTTTTTGGTTTGGACGTGTTTGTTTTGTTGTAGTACGGAGTTTAGACTGATGGCCACAGCGTTGGTGTAACGGTGTTTTTTTTTTCAGGAATATTTTGCTGTTTTTTTTTTATGGATTTTCTGTTTGCACAGTTACATAGTCACTTCATAATAATTCATAGTAAAGGTTTTTGGGCTAGATCGCGTTATTTATAAATGTGTCGTAACCCTCCATCACCCGACACGGCCAATCAGCAAAAAAGTGTCACGTTGACAAAAGACAAATAATTCACTACTTTAGCCCACCGGTGTGTTGTTGAAGAGTGAATCCACAACATTTACAGTTTGAGTTGTACTGTGACGTTTCGCTGGTAATTACATCCAGCATCATCGGGCAATTCGCCAGAATGGTAAAGCCCTCGCTTGCTCCCGGTCTTAAATAGAGCAGCAGGGTGACGTCATCACTTAACTCATATCAGGTGAAGTGATTAGAGGCGGAGGGGCGGGTATTGTAACTATGTAATCGATTAGTAATCAGTCAATGGTTATGATTAGTAATGAGTTGTAGATTAGTAATTAGTTGTAATGTGTGTTAGTGATTATATGCTATGTTAGTAATCCGTTAATTAGTATGTGTTTCCCCTATAAGGAATTGTAATATGCATTATTTAATAATACGCTTCTAGGCCGCACTAAGCCTGTAGCTGTCAGAGCGATTAAAGTTATTTCTATTCCTCTCAATTTCAATGGATTCTCTAATTAGTCTTTGCCAGTAATAATTAGTTTTACACAACACTTCAACCTTATCAAAATCAATCGAGTGTCCTTGTTGGCAAGCATGTTCTGCCACTGCCGACAGTTGTGTTTGAGATAATTTAATATTTCTCTGATGTTCTTTTAGTCTTACGCTGATGTTACGTCCCGTCTGTCCAATATAGCATCTGCCACATAAACAATTAATCCGATAGTCACTTTAAGATGTTTTTCTTGTTCGTGTTTTAGTTTTTGTTTGTTTGTTGTGGTTGCACCCGATTCAAGAGCCGAATGGCTCACAGGGCTATACCAAAATAAATAAACTGACAAAAACCCAAAGCTCTAAATGCATAGAGATGCACATAGAGACCCATAATATATACACATATATATCCATAGAGACACATAGACACCTATCGAGATACAGATGCTCATAGAGACCCACAGAGATGCATAGAGACCCATGGACTAAACTCTTGTTATGTTTTGATTTAAAGCTTTCGTGACTGCAGTAATTAATATTCTTAGCTCTTTCGGTGAAGTCACGTTGAAGGGAAACAATAAAATGATAAAATATATATGTTAACAAGTACAAATGATAGTTCAACGGAGTGGCTTATCACGCGGGAATGTATAGAAGCAGCCAATCACTCCAATCGCGTGTTTCTAAATGTGGAGGACCCGGTAAGAACAATCCACGCGACCACCTAAAGGTAGAGAAAGACGCAGACTGAAAATATTCCAGCAGCAGGCGAACCCACACAGCATCCCTGTACACCGGGCGAGGTAGTCAACATCTCCTAGCCACCGCGACGCCCATGATGATGGTGGTGAATGAACGATGAGCGTTCGTCCTCACCAGTAGTTGTGATAATAGCAGCGTCTCTGTCCCCGGGGTCATGACGCTCTCCTCTCCTCGTCACAGACTCCTCGTCGCAGTCTCTCGTTAACGCGTTGACCGTCGGTCTTGCGATTGAGTGGAAGTGTGTTTGTGTTGTGTGTGTGTGTGAGAGAGGCTTTAGTGTGGACGAGTGAGTGGATCGATATGTGCTGGGGTGCATTTGAGTGTGTGAGATGTCGAGTGGGTTGGTGAAGCTGTTTATGTGTGTGTGTGTGATTGAGTGTGGGTGAGTATGAATGTGCGTGTGAGATTCAGGCTGGACGAGCGTGGACCGGTGTTTGTTTGAGCGTGTGTAGGATTCAGTGTGGGTGTGTTTGTTTGAGAGATTGAGTGGGTGAGTGTGTGTATGTGTATGTGAGGGTAGATGAGTAAGTAGGTGTGTGCATTTGAGTGTGGATGAGTGAGTGGGTGAGTGTGTGTATTTGATAGTGAATGAGTGAGTGGGTGAGTGTGTGTATTTGATATTGAATGAGTGAGTGGGTGAGTGTGTGTATTTGATAGTGAATGAGTGAGTGGGTGAGTGTGTGTATGTATTTGATAGTGAATGAGTGAGTGGGTGAGTGTGTGTATTTGAGAATGAGTGAGTGAGTGGGTGAGTGTGTGTATTTGGGGGTTGGTGAGTGAGTGGGTGAGTGTGTGTATTTGTGAGTGGGTGAGTGAGTGGGTGAGTGTGTGTGTGGGTTTGAGAGTGTCTCTGTAAGAAGTGTGATTTTAGAGTATGGATGGATGTCTGTGTGAGATCGGGAGCCGTTTGTGTATAAGTATGAACGAGTGTCTCAGTCAGTCTGTCTCTCTCACCAATCTTTGTCGAAGAACGTTTGGCAGTGATCGTCCGCGGGTCTTCGGAAAGTGCCTGATTGAAACAAATATCACGTTGCCCGAGCGATGTACTTCCTGTAGATGGCCACCTGGAATGCGGCCAGGTGAGTTCTAGTGTCGTGTCACTGTTGACCCAACTCGTACAGCGTTCGAGGCACTGCAATGCACGGTACATTGTGAGGCTTATCTACCTGTAGTCGGTGAGACGGTGGGTCCCGTCATTCGTGGCAGGGTGGCAACAGACCGATGCAGCGCTGGGTACACGAACCTCGTGTTTCCAGTTTCATTGATTTGTTTTCATTTATGTAGTGGAGTAAACAATACGCATAGGAATTGGCCACATACAGTACATACAGACGGACAAGGAGAACGGGTCACATGAGGTCGAACAGGTGGTCGAGTCACGGGTGGCGTAAACAACCCGAAGGAATTAAGGGAGCCGTGGCACGAGGGCTGTGATTGGTCGAGAGGCTGTTAGTGTTAAGTGGTGGCGTCTCGATGTCTGACGGAGGAGACAGGTGCGAGCTGGCGGGAAACGGCCAGCGAGCCACGTGGCAATTAATTAAGGCTAATGCGAGAGGGGATAAAACGCGAGGTGGTTTGAACGGGGAGTTGGAGTTGTTGCTGGGGAGTTGTTGGCGAGAGGTGACGAGTTACGAAGAAGACAGCTGGCAATGTTAGGGAAGAATAGATAGAGAGCCGAACCCCAAAGACAGTAAATAGCGATAGGGAGAGTTAGCGTTAGCGGAGATAGATAGAGTCACTGTGTGTGAATAGATAGATGGAGTCACTGTGTGTGAATAGATAGATGGAGTCACTGTGTGTGAATAGACAGACAGGATACTGTGTGTGAATAGATAGAAGAAGAACCACTGTGTGTGGAAGGGAAGTCACTGCGTGTGAAGAGATAGCGGCGATACTGTGTGTGTGAGGAGATAGAAGACGAGCCACTGTGTGTGGAAGGGAAGTCACTGTGTGTGAAGAGATAGGCGAAGGAACACTGTGTGTGGAAGGGGATGCACGGACGATGCTGAAGCAAATCGGAGTGTCCGAGTTGGCGGAGCACGGAGAGAATTACTGTGTGTACGGAACGATGGAATAAAAGTGACGGTGGAAAAAGAGACGGTTGTCGTCCGAGTGAATTCACGGCACTACATATATGTAAAAGGCAAAGTTGTACATACGTGTCTGTTCAAAATGTTTAGCGTACTTCCCGACATGCAACAAACTTGACATTTGCCATGTGGGTACTTTCCAGACTGTACACCGTGCAAAAATTATAAAAATACACTTTTCTTTTTTGGGAGGGGGGGGGGCTCAATAATGCATTAATGTTTTGCACGGCAAGTTAGCTGTGACGTCACATATGTCACGTGACCTTCGCACGTGGAAGCGTAACGCATTGTAATGTAGTGGTTAGCGCGCTGCCTGTGTGTGTGTCTGTGTGTGTCTGTGTGTGTGTGTGTCTGTGCGTGTCTTGTGTGTGTCTGTGTGTATGTGTGTGTATGTGTGTGTATGTGAGCAGGTAATAGCTGCTCAGTCAGAGGAGGAGTTGGAGATGCTGCTGCTGAGACTGGAGCGTGCCACTAAGAGGTGGGGCTTTACCATCAGCCCCACCAAAACTAAGCACCTGCCTGGGTATTTTGTACCATCGGACACTCCACCCCCACAACTCCCAATCGGTGATGGGGCAG